GGGGGGGTAATCAAGTATTTCGCCCTTTCTGCAGGAACGTCTCCCTCTCAGCACGGATTGGTCCAGACGGGCAGGAACGAAACCCGCCTCCTTAATGATTGAAATTATGTCGATGAGGGAGAAAAAACATCTACATTTCTGCGTAGGAATTTTGCCCTTGCGGATAAGCGTTTTATCTTACGCCATATTGAACAAAGTTTATTCTTACCTTGCTGTTTATCTCACCTGGTCAATGTTTTATCTCACAGTGCATTGATCAGCATTTTATCTTACCCCAACGTTGATCAGCGTTTTATCTTACCCCACATTAACCAACGGTGGTTATCGTACCCCACATTAGTCAACATTTTATCTTACCTCGCATTGATCAACGTTTTATCTTTCCAATATTGGTCAATGTTTTATCTTACCCTGAATTGATCAGCGTTTTTATCATGTCTCACTTTGGCATGGTCAACGTTTTATCTTACCTCACACTGATCAGCCAGAGCATTCTCATCCCAGCACACAGACTCGCAGGCGTTTGCCGCGGGGTCCGAGGTGGCGTTCACCAGCCGTGCACACACCGCAAGGCACAACACAGCCACTGACAGAACGGCCAGATTATCTCTCCTCATGCTGCTCGTGTTTTGGGGACTCGACGGGAAATTTTCAGAAATGTAACCACTGTGACCTTTATTGTCTTTCTTTTCAATTCCTTTTGAAAAGAGCACTGTAGTTAACCACACTTTCACCAAACAGACTCAGGCTCAGGAAACAAAATGAGCTGATATGTATATTATGTGGTAAATTACATGTATATTTTAAATAATCACAGTACACGAGCTCTTTTTGTCTTCTTCTTTCTCCAATTGTTTGTCCAAAACACTTGGCTCAAGTGTCTTGATGCGAAGTTCGTGAAAGACAATGCACAACACTCGACTTCTAAGTTGCTACTTTCCTGTCTTCCCCCAAACGGGTTTTCCTGTGAAGGTTAATGTTCAAGAGCTCAGTTTTGAAGGATGATTTTCTTGGAGAAAGTGCTCAAGCATCGACGCGTGTCTCAACAAGATAACACGCATGCACGCGACTAAGTTCTCAGGATAAAGATTGCATCAGATTTCACCCTGAGCCTTCTGCTGTGGGCCCTCAAAGCCTGTCTTCAGTTTCCGTACGATGTTACTCATAAGAGAACGTAGTGTTTCTCCAATCGGACCTTTTTTTCACTCTTTGCACGCTCTTTCACACTCTCTCTCTCCCTTTCCTGTCAGGATGTGGTTCTGGATCGCAAGGGAAGGCCCGCTGTTTATATCTCGCTCCGCTAACGGTCCGAGCAGAAATAGCCCCGCCCACTGCGGCAACGTCACCACGCAGCTGTTATGCATTACATTACGCGACTGGGTGGGATCGCAGCAACTGTCAAAGAAGTATGTAAACAGCTATCCCGAGCCTCTTCCGGTTTCAGTGAAATATGAATGGCGCTAATGACGTCAGTTGCAGACGTATGGGTGGCAAATGATGCACTTTTTATCAGAACAATTTTGCTCACAACGCCTCTGGGTTTTCTGATGTGATGGCAAACTAACATATCTCAACCTTAGAGAGAGCAAAGTTTCAGCGAAGAAAAACGAAGGGTGAATGTTTCAGAACTGAAAACAATCATACAGAACTCTTGGCAATTATTTCAATTGTGTTTATTTATAACATGTTTTATCATTGTCCCCACTGAATAATTCAAATATTTTCTGAAATCATTGTTTGCAACAACCCTTTAGACTTAGACGAAATTAGTTTAAAATATA